GTGCTGCTATACCTTGTTCTTGTTTTTCTAATCTTTTTCCTTTCCTAAAACCTTGTCTAGTCATAATAGTGGGTGCATTTTGGTTGATGTTATTTGTTAATGTCAAACCTAATTGATCTAGGACATCTCGTCCCCATAAATTTACAGGAAGATGATCCAATACATATGGCTGTATAGTTCCTTCACATCCTTCAGGATCCTTCCAATCTAATACCATTGCACTTCTATGGGGATTAGTCGCCACTCCTAGGCCTCGAAGCGTTTGAGTGGCTTGTTGTAATGGCCAATGTTTTGGCCATTCTTGACGAGAGATGATGCTAAGGTCTGCACCTGTATCCAGTAGCCCATTAAATTCATGTCCTTGAATATTTAGTTTTAGCATGGGGCGAGAATCTAAATTTAAAGAAAGCATAGCCCAATCTACACCTGTGGAGCCTAATCCCTTGGAACCTCTTTCTACAGTACGACTGGAAAATTTATCATGTAGGCTGGGTATTATTAGTAACTGTGCTATTCTATCTCCTGGTGAAATTACTGATATACCCTTTGGAGAACTGGCTATAATTTTTATTTCACCTTCATAATCGGGATCAATTACCCCAGGACTTATCATAAGTCCTTTTAGAGTAGAAGAGCTGCGTCCCAATAATAAGCCTACTGTTCCTTTGGGAAGAGGTCCTTTCACCCCTGTGGGAATGATTTGAACTCCCATCTCTGGAGTTAGTACTGCTCTGGCGGAGGCGCAGATGTCCAACCCTGCGCTCCCTCTGGTTTGTCTGATGAGGGATCTGATGGACAATGTGTCCTGGGCACTACCCTGATGGGGTTGCTGGGTTCCTCCAGTGCTCCGTATATTTGTGGTTTTGGGCCCCGGAGCATTGGGCCCCCCTGTCCGTTTTTTGGCAATGGAGCCCGATGCCTTTCTCCACGATATTGTGGATAAACACCTGGTCCTTGTTCGTTTTTTGATAATGGAGTACCCTCTATGGTGGTTTGAGAACGGCATTCATTAGCCCAATGACTCCCTCTACGGCATCGTGGGCAAATACCTGGTATTCTACTCCTTTGATACCTAGTTTTGTTAAACCCTCCTCCAATGGGGCAATTCCTTTTAAAATGTCCTGTTTGTTCACAATTGTAGCATGTTCTTGGCCTGGCATCTAAAGCCTGTTTTACTGCAGCTGCCACAATTTGCCCTTGTTCATTAATGTCTCTGGCATCTAAAGCCTGTTTTACTGCAGCTGCCACGACTTGCTCTTGTTCATTAATGTCTCTACATAATTTAATATATGTGTTTAAATCTTCATGCTTCCATGGTCTAATGATATCTCTGCACCAACGATTCGCTTGCTCATAAGCCAGGTGTTTTAGTAATGGCATTGCTTGTTCTGTATTCCCAAAAACTCTGGTAGCTGTTTGAATAAGCCTATCTACAATGAGCTACATCCCCAGCCCTGCACTGAGGAATAGAATATAAATATGCTGGAGTGCTGCTGAACTGGGCCCTGGAGAGGAGCCTAACACACCTGGCAGGCTGTGCTTCCTGCCCTTTGGGAGCCACTGTCATGTAGGAAGCTCAGCCCTCCTGAGACCACCAGGCTGGAAAGTGCACCCAACAGGGGGAGGCCCTGGTGGGCAACAGGCCACATACAGAGAAGACCAGAGGGCACTGTGGTACATAGCTGTAATCCCAGCAACTCAGGAGGCTGAGGCAGGAGGACCACAGGTGGCAGGCCAGCCTTAGCAACTTGAGACCCTGTGTCAAAATAAAAAAATAAGGACTGGGATGTAGCTCAGTCATAACACTATGTATTAAGCACCTGTGTAGCTAGGCAGGGGGGTCAGGTAGGGTCCACATGGATGAAGATGGCAGGTGAGTCCCTGTCTCTGGGGCTGGCCACCTATAAGAAGCAAGAATGTGCAATGTGGCCAACTGTGATCCATTCCTTCTATGGAACAACCATGGGTGGTCAACGGGGTATTCAGGGAGGGCCTCAGAGGTGATGCCAACTCAGACCTGGAGGAGGAGCCAGTCTAGCATTGGGGAATAGGGGGCATATGGGGACAGCAGAGAGCCCCCTGCCTGCCCCTTCCACAGCCAGAGCCAGTCACCACAGCGGTTGAACCCCTGCTCCAGCTGCTGCTCCTGCCTGGCAAGTAGCAGATGTTCACCCCAAGAGGGAGAGAGAGCCAGTCTGCTTGAAGGAGAGCGACCTCGGCAATATGCTGCAGCTGCAGAAGGTGACAGTGCTTTGATCTTTCTCCACACTCCTCCAAATGGTGGCCTGGCCACAATTCTGCAGATCTGATCCCCTTCAGAACACTCGTCCACTCGTTCTGGAAGCTGCAGATGCTTGGAGGAAGGAGAGTAATTTGATGGCAAAAAGAACAGTCGAGAAATGGTTTGGTTAAATCCACAGGAAGGGGGTCCAGGAGTGTCCTGCTTTATTGATCACACTGGGCAGATTGTCAGCAAATGACCAAATAAAAAAATCCATTTTGAGCCCCCAAACAGAAAACAATCCTAGTCTTGAATCCTCTTCCTCAGTTATGCCAGAAGGTAGTCTTGAACCTCCAGTGGTGTCTGAATTAGGCAACTGGAAGTCCTTTTACATAGCCTGGTCACACAGTGCAGACTAAAATTCTAAAGTACCTGGGGTTTCTGTCCTCAGACCTTGGCTACCGTTGTCTGATCTTTACGAGTTAACCTCCCCCTTCACTTCCCTGAACAAATCTGCAGGCAGCACCAGGCTTACAGGACTGCTGGTCTGTCTTGGTAGCTCAGACTTGCTTCTTGGCCCTAAGCAGAGGCACAGAAAAAAAGCAGGGCTTCAAACCCAGCAAGGAAGGTATGGCAGTTATGTCCCATGCTTCCAAAGGATTTCAAATTAGCAGCCGGGTGTGGTAGCACACACCTGTGGTCCCAGCAGCTTGGGAGACTGAGGCAGGGGGATCAAGTTCAAGGCCAGCCTCAGCAACTTAACTATGTCCTATGCAACTTGGAACCTGTCTTAAAAGGGTTGGGGATGTGGCCTAATTGTTGAGCACCCTTTGGTTCAATACCACCCCACACACACACACACAAAATCATATTAGTGAAAATTTAGTACATTTTTATTATGGAATAATAGATCCGAAAACCAAGTAGCATAGTAAAATGAAGGCCCTTATACCTCTCTCCTGAAGGCCAACCCTAACCCATTTTTCAGGGGTACTGGGGATTGAAGCCAGGGCATTTGACCAGAGCTACATCCCAGCCCTTATTTTGAGATGGTCATCCTGAGTTGTCAAGACTGGACTCAACCTTGAAGCCATGTGCACACATGAATCCCATCAGAAATTTATAAGAAGCATTTCTTGAGGTTCTGGAGATCAAACTCACTCTACCTGAGCCTCACCCCCAGCCCAAGAAAGCTAATGTGTTGTGCATGTCAACAATCCCCTGCCTACCGAATTGCCACTGGGTTTCAGGCAATAAAATCTGTACGTTTGAAGTGAAGAATACAATTGTAAGAATAAATCTGGATGTCATGGACAGGCCTGATGTCCTTCACCAGCTGAATTAGCTCATTCTGAACCTGGTCAAATTTCATGGGGTTGATCTCAGTCCAAGAATCCCCGAGGATTTCGTCAAAGATCTCCAGAGGGGCAGGGTACTTCCCTTGTTCCAGCGGCAGGCTAGCGGTGTGGCTCAGCAGGTTCTTAAGAGCAGTCAGGGGGATTTGGTTCCCACAGAAACTGAAGGTTTTGAGCTGGGAACAGTGACCCAGGGCTGGTGAGATGGCATTTAGCTGGGACTCTGTTATCTCACAAAACTCTAAGACCAGGGTCTCAAGGGTGTGTGCCACCTTCTCCAGCAGGACCCGGAGGGGCTCAGGACTCATATCTTTCATGGAAAAAGAGCTGAGATCCAGACACTTCAGTTGATCAGTGCTCGGACACAGGGACAGATGCTTTAAATCCTTCTCCTTGAGCGGACAATCTCTCAGCGAGAGTGTTTTTAAGGGGGTCCGACTCCTGGAGAGAAAGCAAAGAGTTACTTCTGGAGAATGAAGGCACCACGTGGATACAGTGGGAAATGGTAGGTGAGAACTGTCTAATCCCAAACCCAAGGTCGCCCTGACCTTCTGATGATGGTGGACCCCCAGGACACTGTGGGTTGCAGAATCTGCTCCTACACTCACCCATTTCAGGGTGAGCCTTTCACCACCACTTGAGTGACCAGGTGGGTCCATCATCTCTAAGGCTCCTCCCCTGACTGCCAAGCCGAAGGCCACAGCTCTGGCCACAGGAGGTCAGGGGGAGTCATGTACGAAGGACAAACCCAGGCAAGATGAAGGAAACCCACCCGGGTTGTCCACCTGTGGGGCTCACACCTTGTACCCTCCATCCCTGCTCCTCACCCTCTAGTCCAGAATCACCACCTGAGGCTCAGAGCAGCCTTCCCCAGGGGGGCATTGGGGGCGGCTCCTCTGCTCCCCGCTGGAGAGCACAGAGCTTCCCTGTTGCAAGGTGCAGGTGAGGGGGCTTCCCTCCTCCAGCGCCCTCTCCTCTACCCCGTCTCCCACCTCCTTCGCTGGACAGGCCTCCCAGGGAAGGAACCTCACCCACCCTCACTAGCTCCTGTCCCCCCAGCTGGCTTTTCTACATGGTGGCACTTCCCAGACCATGCACCCCGGTTTAGCCCTCTGCTTCTGTGTGGGTGGTGATGAGACCATCCTTCAGGACTGAGCAGGGACCAGAACCTGCGGTCACTCGGTCACTCTCCAGCATCTCCTTCCCTGACATGGCTAGTGGCCAGGGCACAAGCCCTGTAACTGCTCGGTAAGCAAAAATGGCTTTTGCGGCAATGCGCACCCCTCGTGCTTACAGGAGGATTTTGTGCAGCATTCCGCAGAGGAAGAAGACGTTGTTCACGTAGAGCTCGCGGAGTTTGTTCACCTTCCGCAGTTGAAAGCTGTATCTATGGGAATACCACCTGTTTTTGGAGCGCTTGGTGAAGACCTGCGGGCTCATGTTGGAGAAATGGAGGACAAGAAGGTTCCTCATCTTGCTCAGGATAAAACAAAAACGGAACATTATTTCCAAACTCCAGAATTCAGCATTCACCTCCAGTTCCCGCACGTAGTAAAAGGACACAGTCCTCGGGATTGTATACTCTGAGTAGCAACCATTGACCTGGAGCTTCTTGCAGTATATACGGACCACCCTCCTTGCTTTCATCACCCACTCAGTGAGGATGAAAAGTAATCTTGGGAAGACTGTGTCCGGACAGAATTCTATGAAGATCTTCAAGCGTGGCTTCGCTGCTCTTTGGCTGCATTTCTCTCTTTCCTTTGGAGACGCGGCCTCTTGTGAGCAGGCACCCAGTGGGGCTCTGGACCACTGATTGGGGCAGTCCTGATTCATTCGAAAATCGATTGCTTTCAGTTTCCATTTCCTATGGAGAAAATGGGAAGGAGGCTGGAAAAATAGACAAAGACCCGCCGGCTTCCAACCTGTGCATTAGACCCCAGTGAACCCCTTTTTCTGGGTGGCTGCTCCTCTGCTCTCCTATTTTTCTCCGTGTCCTTTCTCCTTGAATCCAGCCAGGGACCCTTCCTGTGGAGGGGGCAGGGCAGCCTCCTCCCTGGCACCACCTGGTCCACCCTTCACCCTGCCCTGCCTCCCCCCACCCCATGTCTCTTCCTGGGCCCCCCTCACCTGGGGTGAACCTTGTTGAAAATCAGCGAGCTTAGCCCATACAGTAGAGTTCTTAAGGCCGTCAGATCTCCTGTCTTCACCAGGTAGTCCACATGCAGACAGGCCAAGGGGCAGGACAGCACCATCTTCTTTAGCATCTCCTTGTGACCCCCCATTATAGCCTCCTTGTACAACTGCAGGATGAGCACCCTGGGCAGGTACTCCAGATTGGGGATGGGCAAGTCCTTTTCGCATAGTACGTTCTGTATCACCAGTTCCTGGAGTGTGGGTACGGTCTGGAAGCTCATCCTGTTGAATCTGCAGGGAACGGAGGCACCCTTTCAGGCCAAGCCTGAAAAACCCCTTCTCATCCAGCCTAGGTCCAAATCCTGGTAAGCCACAGCTCTGTGGTGGTGGGGATCAAATCCCCAGTATCCAGGTCCACCTCTGGTCCTCCCAACTCTAATCCCACTAGTTATCAAGGAGTCTGAAGGCTCACCAGTCCCCCTATGGACAGGTGACTCATCTTCACTTTTGAGATCCTGGGGAGTGAACCAAGGGCTGAATGCTTGCCAGACAAGTGCCTTACCACTGATCCACATCCCAAACCTAAACCTCACTTAGGACCACCTGAAAGAGAATGGAAATGTCACAGGGCCAATGCCCAGCCTGGTGGCACAAGCCTGTAATTCTAGCAACTTGGGACACTGAGGCGGTAGGACTACAAGCTCAAGTCTAGCCTCAGCAACTTAACAAGACCCAAGGCCCTTGTGAGAGATCCAATCAGAATAAAAAATTCAAAGGGCTGGAATGTGGCTAAGTGGTAAAGCACCCTGAGTTCAATCCCCATTACCAAAAAATAATTTTAAAAAATGAGAACCTCAAGTTCAAGGGCAGCTTGGGAAACTGAGCAAGACCTTGTCCGAGGCTCAAGATGTTGTTCAGTGGTAGCGAGCTTGCCGAGCATGTGAGGCCCTGGGTTCAATTCCCTGTACCACACATGCACACACAAAACCATAAACATGTGGACATGTACAGATGTAAATCTAGATATAGCTATAGCTTAGGAGCTGTGCTGAGGGTGGTAGCTCAGTGATATAGGTTACTGAGCCCACATATAGCCTTGGGTGAGATCCCCATTGGACCCCAAAAATGAAAATCCGAACTTTTGGTTGCTGAACTTAGAGGAAGTTTCTTTGGGGTTCCTGGTTTCAGAGGTTCATTCCATGGACAGCCAGCTCCATTGCTCAAGAGGCAGAAGAACATGACCAAACAGAGCCTCAGAAAAGCTGATCAGTACCGGGCAGCCTGGAGGTGGTGGGCACGGTGCCAAGAAACTTTAACAGGGGTTCACAGGATGCTTTCATTATATCCCTTGTGGCTTTGAAACTTACATGTTTCTCCCCCCACCCCTGCATCTTCTTTTCTCTAGCCTTCTCTTTCATGATCTCCCTGATCTCCTTCCTGATCTCCCCTTCCTAATCCCATTTTCTTGAATCACCTCTATAAAAGCCCCCTGTTCCTGAGGATAGGCAGAAGCACAGGCTTTGGGACACTAGTCCCTGTTTCTTCTTTGCTACCAAAACAATAAACCTTTTTCCTTTTTCTCAATATCTTGTCATTGCTATTGGATCAGCATGGAGGATGGGGCCAAGCCTTTGGTTGCAAAAATATAAACCCAAAGACACATCCACAGGGACCTATTTCCTCCAGCTACACCCCACCTGCCTAGAGTTTATCACCCAGTTTATCATGGGTGATTAAACTCTAAATAGATGAATGTACTGATTATGGATCTTATAACCCAATCGTCTCACCCCTTTCATTAACACTAGAACCTTTGGGAGAATACACCCTATCCAAACCGTGACACCAAAATCTAGTAAGAAAACATTGATATAAAATATATACATCACACATATGTGCACATATTCCTTTGTTTTGCAGTGATGGGGTTTCAACCCAGGTCCTCATACTAGGCAAGTCTTCTAACACTGAGCAACACCCTCACCCTGTTTTAAGCTCTAAATACAAAATAACTTGTAAAACCACAATACCACAAATTCCATGAACTGTCATTTAAAGTAATATAGACTACATATGAAAATTGTCAAGACAATTCAAAATCAAATAGATAGCTCTCGCTTACAAATTTTGCACTGGGTCAGGCACAGTGGCACACACCTGTAATCCCAGCAGCTCGGGAGGCTAAGACAGGAAGATCTTGAAAGCCAGCCTCAGCAATGGTGAGGCACTAAGCAATTCAGTGAGACCCTGTCCAAGCAACTCAGTGAGACCCTGTCTCTAAATAATATATAAAAATAGGGCTGGGGATGTGGCTCAAATGGTCAAGTGCCCCTGAGTTCAATCCTTGGTGCCCAAAAAAGAAAAAAAAATCATTGGGTGCAGTGGTGCATGCTGGTAATCCCAGCAATTTAGGAGGCTGAGGCAGGAGCATCAAAAGTTTAAGGCCAGCCTTAGCAATTTAGGGAGATTCTAGGCAACTTACGGAGGCCCTGTGTAAAAAAAAAAAAAAAAAATGTAAAAGGTGCTGGAGATGTGGCTCATTTGTTAAGCAGCCCTGAGTTCAATCCCCAGTCCACAAAAAGTCAAGTTGCAGGTCAGCCACAGCACCTTAGCAAGACGTTGACCAATTTAGGTAAACCCTGATTCAAAATAAAACACGGGTCTGTGGAGATGAGGCTCAGTGGTAAAGCATCCTTGGGTTCAATCCCTAAGAATCATCATCAGCAGTGGTGGCAAACTGGGCTGCAGTCACCAGGGCAGACTGGCTGTGGTAGACAGGGTGGCGCATCCTTAGGGGGGCTGTCACTTACCCTCTCTGCACGTCTGGATGGAACGGTCTGGCTCTCCAAGTGTCAACAGATCCAGGCAGTGACTCTTGGTCCAGGATTCTCTGGAACCTTCTCTGGCTGCTCTGAAGCTTTTATTCCTCCTCTCCAAACCCCTCCCTTGCAATCAGAAGCTCATATCTGACTAGATTATTGAATCTCATCCAATTAATCCTGGTTGGATTTTCATCTTATTGATTGGTTTTAGCAGATCTCCAGGCAGGAAGGGGAAGGGATTCTGGGTGGGGTGGAGATCCTCTCAGGGATTTCTTTCACAGAGCTTCATTCACAGGGTCACCCTCGGTTCTGAGCATGAGACACCAAAGGACTTCATCTGATATTGGACTCAGAGAAACCCCTGAAAGCTCATTGTTCAGGGGTCCGTGGCCACACTGATATTGCGAACCTGTTCTAGAGTTAAAACCTCTTAGGTGTGATGGCTCACTTCTTTAATCCCATCTATGCCAGCAGCCCCAGAGGCTGAAGGAGGGCAATCCCTAAAGCAAGGAGCTCCAGGCTAGCCTGGTCAGCAGGGTGAGAACCCATCTCAGAAACAAAGACAAAAATGCTTTATGAAGCCGGGCGTGGCAGCACACACCTCTAATCCCAGTAGCTCTGGAGGCTGAGGCAGGAGGATTGGAAGTTCAAGGCTGGCCTCAGCAATTTTAGTGAGGCCCTGAGCAACTCAATAAGACCCTGTCTCAAAATAAAATACAAAAAGTGGCTCAGTAGAAAAGAAATTGGAAAAGAGTTGCTAGAGACACTAAAAACCAGCCTCTACTTCAGAGCCAAGCCTGTCCAAGGAAGGGACATGGCCTTTGTCCTTGGAAAGACCCACAGAGCACTCCTAGGCACATTCCCACCCTGCTAAGTTGTTTATCTACAAATAACAGGAGAGATATGCTGAGCCAGGTGTCCCTGACTCAGTCAGGCTAGGTGGGGACCCATAGCAACCCCCTAGCAGCCACCAATCAGCATGAGACAGGGAAATACCTGGGATGCCAGATGACCCTCCCAGTAGTTTATGGTGTTGGAAAACCATGTAATTCAGCATGAACACCCCTCTTGGCTTAAACCAATCAGTTCAAATGAATCCCTTTCTTGTAGTAACCAATCACCCCTACCCAACTTGTTCCCACCAGTGAATGTGCTAATTATGTTTTAGAGTTGTTGTTTGATTTTCCCGGGTGTGTGATGATTTGCTAAGAGATGCTATGATGTGTGTGGGGGTCCTTGCCTTCTCCAAAGAATGTATAAAACTGCTGCAAACCCTGGGCTTCAGGCTTCTCAGCATCACCAGTTGCTGTGTGCGCGTGGAGGACTGAGCTAGCTCGCAATAAACACCTCTTTGCTGCTTACATCCTGGTCTCTGGTGGTCTTTGAGGGTCCCGAATTGGAGCATAACAACACAACAGAGACTCCTAAAACCTCTCGCTACCCTCGAGGACAGGGAGGGAGAAGCAGTCTTTTGTTCCCTTACAAGGTAAAGGATGTTTCAGGGGGATCAGCTCAGCAAACTGGCTTGAGAATAGAGTCACCTGTACGGGTAAAAGAAATTGAAGTTAAAGGGTAAAAGACGGGGTGCTGTAAAAGTTTCTAAGCTGCAAGGTCTGAGTTAAAATGTAAAGGAGTTATTGTTAGGTTTCTATGCTACCTGCAAAACCCGAAATTTCTGTAGCTGTTAAGACAATGCTTAGAACCGCCCAGTAAATATTTCCCCTGACTATTTGGTTGTTTAGGGCTCTGTGTGGTCACACATAGGCATTGCAGGGCCTGGACCAATCAGTTTAAATGTGTACTCTCCTTAGGAATGACCTATCACTCCAGCCTGACCTGTTCCCGCCAATGAATGAACTAATCATGTTTAGGAGTTGTTGTTCAATTTTCCCGCGCCTCATGATGATTTGTTCTGATGTATACAAAGCCCTCCGCCCTCCCCAAAAAGTGTACTTAAGCAGTGCTCAGCCCCTGCTCGGGGCTCTGGGCTGCTTTCCCTTCTTGAGTGGGCACGGAGCCCCAGAATGCTGGTTCAATAAATCCCCCTTCTGCCAATTGCATGAGTGGTCACTTGGTGGTCTCTTTCTCCGACGTTTCGCGGGATCCTTACATCATCAGATATGAGCTGGGACCTGAGACCAGAGAGCAGCTTTGACTACCAGCCCTGGGAAGGCCACTTTTCCGTGTCTGAAGCCACTGAGGGTGGAAGCTGTGGGTACCTCTCAGGATGTTGGGGAGCAAGAAATGTAGGTCAAAGTGTGAGTCCCTCTCATCATGGCAGCCACCACCTGGAGCCTTTCAATGTCAGGGTTCTTCCTACAGGGGCATTTCCCAGGCAATGCTGAGCCCCACACAGTGCCAGGGTCCTTTATCCTATAAAAGCAAAGTCTAAGGAACAATGACATTTTAACGAGTGTTAGATAATAGTGAGACATGGTGGTACAGGTCTGCAGTCTGAGCAACTGGGGAGGCTGAGGCAGGAGGATTGCAAGTTTGAGGCCTGCCTCAGCACTTGAATTTAGTAAGACCATCAGCAGCATATCAAGTCCAAGTTTAAAAATGAAAAGGACTGGGGAAGCCAGGCACAGTGGCACATGCCTATGATCTCAGTGGATCAGGAGGCTGAGACAGGAGGATCTTGAGTTCAAAGCCAGCCCTGGCCCCTCCTTACATGGAAAATAACTTTGAAGCTATCAATCTAATTCAAACTCTCCTCTTGTTGCCTTTGGGGGGTTTTGTGGTACTGGTTTCTGTGGAACTCAGGAGTGCTCTACCTCTGAG